AGAAAAGATGCTGGAAAAAGGGGAGCCGCCAGGCTGGGACCCCACGTGGCTCAACCCTCGGAGGGGGGGGGAAAGCGGGGAGAAAGAAGGGCGCCCCCTTCTGAGGAGGGTTCCGAGTGCCGAGGGGGGGCAGGGGAGGGGGGGACCGGGCGACCTCTGCCAAGGCTGCTCCTGCTCCGCCGAGGCGGCAAGAGGCCCCCCCCCTCAATTGTAGGATGGGGGTCAGACTCGATGACCTCCAGGGCTTCCTGCTGGATGGTCCCTTTCGAGATCAAGGCTGCCTAGAAGGGAGCCGGGCTTGGGCCGGGAGGTGAGGAGAAAACGGGCGGCGGGAAGGATCAGAGGGGCTCAGAGCTCTCCCTCCGGAGGGCCTGATCCCCCGACAGGGCCTGATCCGGTCCCCAGAAGCGGCTCCACTTTTGGGGCGCATCCTCTTGCTGGTTCCCCCACCCCGGGACGGATTAGCTCACCTCGGGGTTTCCCCGCGCTCTCCACCTCCGGGAGAAAGAACAGGACTACAAGGCCCATCATCCCCGCCACGACCAGGACCCCGACATTCAGCGTAGGCGCCATGACGTCCTGGGAAAAGACAGACTCCCGCTTTGGGTCCCCAAATCTCGAATGGGGCTTTCTGGGCTGAGCACTTTAGTGAAAAAGGGCTCACTGAAGCCCCGCCCTCCCTGCCCGCAAAGGGCCAATTGGCTCCGGAGTCCAGAGGGCGTCATCAGTCGCCAGGCAGGGATGGCTAGAAAACGTCCCGACCGGACAGAGGCTTTCCACGGGAGGAGAGGAAGGGTTGCCCGAAGGAGGGAAGAGGGGGGCCGTCCGCCTTCGCCCGGCGACAGGCTCGTCAGCATCGCCACCTTTTTCCTATTGGACGAGGCTACCTGGAACTCCGCCCCCTTCGTCCTCTTGGCCTCCCACTTGCTCTTGAAGAGCGGGGGCAGGCAGAACGCGAAGCAGAAGGCTTTGGCCACCGCCTGCGATCATCCGTCCTGAAAGATGATGATGGGAGTCCCGACAGCCGGAATGGGAGCCCCTCGCCTGGGCCTCTGGGCGCTCCTGCTCGCTCTGCCGCTTGCCCAGGCGGTGGAAGGTGAGGGGGACGTGAGGAGGGGGCGTCGGAGGGAGACACGGGAGTCAGGGGTCGTGGAGACGTCCCAAGTTCCCCGCGAATATGAAACGAGTTTTTCACGAAGAGTGAGCGGTGCCCCTTTTCTCCCGATAACTATATACTAATTAAAATACAATCGAATAATTAAAAGCAGGTGGGCATTAGCTTTTTACCAGTGGGAAGACTGTGAGGATCTCTGAGATAGTGAGGAAAACCCCTGGACCAAGACCTTGAAGCCTATTAAGGATCTGGGGTGTTTCTCCAAAAGGGGAAGTCCGTTACAGATAACCTGGCAGTAAAAGAAGTCTGAAGGGCTGGACGTTTGTGAGTGTCACAGAAGGAGCCTCTTTCACACCTCCCAGAACTGGGTTAGTCTTGGTGACTGGTCTTCGGAAGTTAAGCTCAAGAATAATCTGAAGTCCACATTCCCCTGAAATACATCTCTCCTACACTAAGGGGCTTTTACCCTCAGGAGAACTCACCAGATGGGCAGAGAGGGAGAGTTCCTTTTCACACCAGGTCTGCTGCTTCCTCTTACTCAAAGATTACAGATTTTTATTTATTTATTTATTTATTTATTTATTTATTTATTTATTTATTTATTTATTTATTTATTTATTTATTTATTTATTTTATTTTATTTTATTTATTTATTTAATTTA